GAGACACATCATAATGCCATTGTCACATTCAAAAAAAGCATCAATAATTCATTGATATCATATACTCCCCAGTCTGTGTTCAGTGTTCCTGAATTACCTCAGAAGTTTTTTGTTTTTGAAAAGATTATTGGCTTTCCCTTCGTTTATAAACTGCATTTTCATATTACAAAATGACGCATCAAGGAAAATAAAGGAAAATACAGAGGTTGAGGAGAAAGCCCCTCTCTGCAGCCCTCACTCCCACGAGGATTTGGTCACACGCCCTGTCCTGCAAACTGGCCTTTCATAAGATTTCTTCCATTTCTTCAACTCTGAGTATTCATACAAGTGAACTGACATGTGCCACTCTATCGCACAGGTGCAAGCGTGCTTGATGTGCTGCTCCGCCCCGTGCTCTTCGCCACTTAAAACGCGTCTCGGGGACTTTCCCACGCGCATGCGTGTGGCCTCTGCTGTGCTTTCCACAGCCCCGCACGGAATAGCGCGTTGGCCCGGGCAGACGCCTGGTTCCTTTCTAATTCTTTGCTGTTAGGGGAACGACGCAGCGAGCATGCTTGTCCGGGCGTCTTTGTGCACCTTTGCAGTCATCTCTGGAGGGCGGGCCGGAGTCGCTGCCGCTCGGGGGGTGGCTCTGATGGGTGATGTCCAGCGTGACCACCAGAGGCGTCAGCCCCGGAGCGCGGCGTGTGGGCCCTTCAGACGGAAACCGAGTCTGCCTGTGACCTCACTGCGTCAGCACATTCGACAGGATAATCCTACATCGGCTTCCACGCCTGCAGTCCTGGCCTGAAGGAATCCTATGTTGACGATATTTAATAAAGTACATGGTTTGTCAAAAGCATCAGCCTTCTTGTGGCTCACGCCTGTCATCCCAGCACTCTGGGAGGCCGAGGCGGGAGGATCGCTCAAGGTCAGGAGTTCGAAACCAGCCGGAGCAAGAGCGAGACCCCGTCTCTACTAAAGATAGAAAGAAATTAATTGGCCAACTAAAAATATATAGAAAGAAGTTAGCTGGGCATGGTGGCGCATGCCTGTAGTCCCAGCTACTCGGGAGGCTGAGGCAGGAGGATGGCTTGAGCCCAGGAGTTTGAGGTTGCTGTGAGCGAGGCTGACGCCGCGGCACTCACTCTAGCCCGGGCAACAAAGCGAGACTCTGTCTCAAAACAAACAAACAAAAAACCCATGGGCGTTTTGTCTTTGGAGAGACGACTCCTTTACTTACCAACATTCCTCTTGTCTGGCTCTCTTTATCGGGAGTAGGTAGAGGCAGCTGGCTGTTCCATAAAGATCTTCTAGAAGTCTCCCCGTGGGCAAGAGGATTCCTGTTTGCTCGGGTTTGGTTGCCCTTGGCTTGGTTTTTCCTCATTTGGTCCCTGGGCCCTTTTACCTGGCGTAGCTAGAACGTGGGTGCCGGCGCCCTCACCTTCCTGTCCTCACCAGCGCAGCGAGCCGTTGTGAAAGCAAAGCCAGCCCAAGATAAAAAAAAAAAAAAGCCCACCAGAACCCCCACGGAGCCACGTTAGAACTCCCCGAGTGCTCCGCGCGGCTCGCAGCTTGATCCATTGTGTGGAGCGGGCGGGCTCTCATTGCCAGGAGCTTCTCCGGATCCGTGGTTCCCGGTGTCCTGTCGAGATGAACGGGCAGGGCAGGCGCACACAATGCCACCGGCTGCCGCTGCCGAGGGCTATTTCTGTCACAATGAAGCCCCGGGGGGCGGGGGCCTTCGTCCTGACCCACTTCCTCTCTCCTGGCAGGTGCGCCGGGCTGTGCGGCCCGCAGCGGAGGTCGGGGGGATGATCTGTCGGCGTCCATCCCCCCGTCCGCCTCCTCCGCTGCCCGGGACGGGGCCGCTGCCCGGGCTGCATTTGCATTTGGGGTGATTGGACAGCCCTCCCGAAAGTAAGAGTCGGGACACGCGCTGTGGATGTCCCTGGCGCTCGAAACTTGGGGCGGCACTGCCGGCTTCTGCAGGCATGCATGCGTCACCCCCAGATGCCGTCTGCCCGCCTTCCGTCCTCATCTTCAGCCGAGCTCCTTCACCGGAGCATCGGACTCAGCAAGCAAGACGCAGAATGCTTCTGCACGGCGAGCCGAGGCGGTGAGAAGGAGGAGGAGAGAGGACGGAGCAACAGGAAAAGGCGGCGCGTGGCGCAAGACGCACAGTGCTGCTGTCTTCCATAAACAACACGTGGGCTCGGAGGATGTACCGTGCTTCCCCGAACATAAGCCCTACCCATAACATAAGCCCCAGCGGGATTTCTAAGCATGTGCACAATATGAGCCCCACCCCGAAAATAAGCCCTAGTGACGGGCGTGGCTGCGCAGCGCGTCTGCACAACCCGTGCATGTCGTTGCGGAGCGGGAAAGAAGACGAGCAGCCCTTCTCGTCTGCCCCTTCGTGACAGCTGCTGTCCCAGAGGTGACCGGAAAGGTGCGGGCGGCCCCACCAACAAGGTCGGCTCCCCCAGTCGGGTCCCGGCCGTCCTGTGCATGCTGCGAGCTGAGGCTTGGAGGGGAAAACAACACGTCCCCTGAAAATAAGCCCTAGGGTGTCTTCTTGAGGAAAAGTAAACATAAGACCCTGTCTTATTTTGGGGGTAGTCTGGTGGAAGGCTCACTGTCCCGGAATTCAAAGAAAGAGTAAAAAACCACGGAAAACACAGGTAGCCCAGAGATGTTCTGTGGCTCGTGCCCTTGTCTTTGAGCAAGGCCATGTGCATCCTCTAAACATTGCTACTTGCACGAAATGCTGAGTCCCTAAGTCTAGCCCAGTCCCAGGGGTGCTGACCCTGTGGTCCAGGACCACGCTGTGACAGCCACGGGCCTAAGTCAGTGGAGTGCGTCGGCTACAGAAAAACCCAAAGTCTTTGGAAGCTCACCCCAATGTATTTTCAGCAGTGAAAGGCAAACATAGTAATAATACTAGTAATTTAAAATTTCGCCCTCACAAAGGGAGAAGATTAGAGAAAAGTTGCTCCAGCAGCAAGTGTCCAAGTGTCCGGTCTCCCTGGCCTTTCTCTTGGTGACACAGGCTGGATAGAGACTCTCAGAGATCTTTGGCACGGAAAACACACAATCGTGGAAACAACCCAAGTGCCCATCAGTGCACGAGTGGATTAATAAAATGTGGTCTACGTGTACCGTGGAGTTCTACCCAGCCACAGAAAACAGTGGTGATCCAGCGCCTCTTGTGTTATCCTGGATGGAGCTGGAGCCCGTTCTACTAAGTGAAGTATCCCAAGAACGGAAAAACAAGCACCGCATGCACTCGCCATCAGATTGGATCTGATTGATCCACACTCATGTGCTCATATGGGAGTAAGAAATCAGAAATCAAGCAGGTGGAGGGGAGGAGGGGATGGGTGTGCACCGTCTGGGGGATGGACACGCGTGAAGCTCTGACTCGGGCGGGGCAAAGTCACTAGATGTAACCGAAGCATTTGTACCCACAAAATATGCTGAAATTAAATTAAATTAAGAAAAGGAAAAACATAACAATAGCACCCGCTGGCCCCCACAAATAAACAAAAGCAACTCCGGAGTGTAAGATCAGCGTAACGCAGTCAAGCGAACACCGGACGCGTGCCGTGTGCACCTGTCTTTGACGGCCCCTTTGGAACACCAACTCCCTGAAAACGGATTCTTGGTGTCCCTGCTTGTCCTCCGTCCCAGGCATGCCATTCGTCGGCCTCTCAGGTGACACGGCCCCGTCAGAGAGGAAGTCTCAGTGTGACTTACGCAGCCCCGGATGGAAACACACGCAGGGCCCGTGTGGCTGCCTGCCCGGCCCGGGCTGCGGTCAGGCGTGTGCGTCCGGGCAAGGTCAAAGCGCTCAGCTCAATCCTCCGCTCAGCTGCAGTCCGGCCGGGGGTGTGGGGGTGTGGGGTGGGGCGGGAGGGGTCGCCGGGCCCTCCACACCCGGGGGGCTGCCCTCCCACTGGGACCGTCACGCCTGTGGGCTGGTACACGGCCGGAACGCCCCGGCATCCCGTGGAGATTCTCTCGCCAGACCTGGACGACTAAACCGGCTCCCGCTTGCTCGCCAGCCGGTTGTCTGCTCTGGCTGCCTGGACTCGGGCCGCCCTCTGCAGAGCCCCCCAGGACCCCCTGCATGCATCCCGGGCAGCGGGTGTGTGCAGGGCCCCGGGGAGACACCTGCTATTCATTGAACGCACGGACCAGCCCAAGGCTTCTCCAGGGAAACCCGGAGCCAGAACCCGGGTCAATAGCCGGGGCCGCTCGATGCTGACTTAGCAGGCTGCCGGGCGTTTCCCGGGATCGTCCTAGTTACCATCACCCTGTTGACGCGAGTTGCTTTGGGGGGAAGAGGAAACATCGGCCGGACTTTGGGGGTCCCGCCCGCCGTGTCTGTCTCGGGGGGAGACACGCGCCCACTGCAGAAGCGCAGAGCCTCTCCCTCCTCCACCGGCTCGGCCCGGGCGCGGCGCCCAGCGCAGGCTGGGCCGCTGGGGCATCTCGGGCAAGCGGGGCAAGGAACGCGCAGCTGCAAATCGGCACGTCGCTCGTAGCCACACACAGCCCGGGGGGAGAAGGCCTCTGCCGTGGGGCTCCCGTTCCGCGTTCCGGACCTCCTGCCCCTCGCCGGCTTGCCCCGGCCCCCCGAGGAGCCCCCCTTGGTTGAAGGCGGCTGCAGAGGGAGTTTCTGCTGCTCGTGGCCGGGAAACCCTCCCGGCACAGCCGGGAAAGGCAGCAGGCACGGACAGAGGGCACGAGGAGGCCGGGGCAGGTCACCTCCCAGTCGTCCCACAGGAAAGGGACCGTCAGACACATCGTGACAATGACGCCAGACTCCCCCCCTGACTTCCTGGACTGGCCTCCGCTCTGCGGCCAGCTCGCCGGGCACCGGCAATAAACACGCGCACCGAGAGCCGCGGGCCGCCGCCGAGTTCCAGAAAACAGCTGCAGAGCCTTTTGAAGTCAGTGTCCCGTTACAGAGCAGGTGCAACCGTCTGTGTCCGTCTGTCCCCAGCGCCAGAGTCAGCACAAGGGGTGGTGGTGGTGGGGGTGCCACGCTGCAGCCCTGGGCTCCTTTGCGATCTGCCCCTCACCCACTCACCCGTGCCACCGAGATGCCGGCCAGCACCCAGGCGGCTTCCTTGGGAGACCACGCAGGACCCTAACCCTAACCCTAACCCTAACCCTAACACAGGACTTGGAGCGACCTGTCCCTGCATCTCTGTGTCCCTTTTGGCCACCAGCAGCAGCAGCAGCAGCAGCCTGTGCCGAGAGGAGCGGCTGACCCACGCCTCCAACGGGCCGGGGTCTCGCGCCCCTCCCTCCCCTCCCCTGCGGCCTGCAGCCGGCGGAGCCGGGGGAGACAGGTGGTCCATCCCCGCAAGATGCTTCGAGCGGCCACACGGGCCAGCTCCCGGCCGCACGCGCCCCGCCTCTCAGAGCCCAAACTCCAGAGCAGAGAGGGCTCCGTCCGCTGTTTTGTTCGGAGGTGTGACCAGACCCCAGGCTCAGCTCCTCAGGGCCCCGCAGCGCCGGGAGGGGTAGAGGGAGGCGGATTCCGCGTGGTGGCTGTGGGGACAGGCACCCTCACCGAGACGCCTCCCGGCTGCGTGTGGTCTCTGAAGGCCCCCACGACCGGCTGACCCCACCTCTGAGCAGCCTGCTGTCTGGGGTTTGGGGGGGACAGGGAGAGGAGCCTGGAGCCACCCTCGTGGCCACGGCAACTGCCCTGGGGTGTCTCTGAGCCCCAGACGGTGCCCAGCCGAGGCTGCGGGAGGGGCAGCATCCTCTCGCCCTGCCCCGTGCCCCGCCCATGCACAGCGTCAGCCTGCAGCGAGTGGTGGTGACCACGCACGTGGGCCTTTCTTCCCCTCCTTTTTCTTTCACCCCCGTTTCTCCCGCCTATAAAGTGGGGACACCAGGACGTCTCTGTGGGGACGGGAGGATAGCACGTTTGTCACATGCCTCATAAGCGAACACACTTGTAATGGCAAGATTTGGGGATTTTCCTCCCGTGCCTGGCGGTAGACATTCACCCGATGTCTGTGGGAATGAGAGAGAGAGCTTCAGAGGCAAGAAGAGGGTGGTCGGTCAGGGGTCCCGCAGGAAGCGGGGGGGGGCGCTCACAGGGTGTAGGGACTGTGTACCCCCAAAGTGTCTGCATTGATGCTTAAGCCCCCACCAGATCTGCTCGAGCATCAGGGTGGCCCCAGCCACGTTTGCTTCTCTTAACCCTCCCCACACCTTAATCAACAGCCCCCATTTCATTTTATTTTTTGGAGACAGAGTCTCACTCTTAGTGCCCCGGCTAGAGTGC